CGCGAGGGGGGCGACTGCCCTCTGTCCCACTTTGGCTGCGCCACAGCCAATTCATTGAGGTAACGAAATGCTGTTTTTTGGCCGTATGAAGTAAAAGATTCTTTGGAAATGATTCATTTATGTTATAAGGGGGTAGGGGTGTATTCTCTATACCCCAAAATAAGCGGCTTACAGGTATATTAACCCCTTCCTCAAACAACCACCTACCCAGTCATATGCAGAAAAGTAGGACGTAAAACTCCATTCATTATCCTTTCAAATCAAAGAGAATATTTGACCTGAGGCCAGTGAAAGATGACACTGTAAGAGCTTTGAAGAATAAACCAGGGTCAGTTAGAGGTGACTACAGTTAATGCACATCAACACGTTAACACTTGTATTGGTGATAGTTAGTTCATCAGTGACCGTAAACACGATACAATAGACTGTGTGTTAAAGATACGGCCTGTACACTATAACTTAAAGAGTGATAGCCTCACATGTCCGTCGACCAATTGAAATAACCAAGGTTGGATATGACCATTGCTCATTCTAATGGAGCACTTGCTTGCCTTATATAGGCTTCACTCATCATTCCGAGCGAGAAGTCCGCAAAGTTAATAACCTTTTCTTTGTAGTATTAACCTTATTAAAGGGTAAAGCTTTATATAAATTGGGCTTCCGATATCCTTATAATACTATTCAGTACATGCTTCTCATGATCTGACCAGAACACGAGGCACTGTATACCGATTGACTCTGTTTTAGGGGGCGATTGAAATAACACCTTAGACCATCTAAAGAAATCGGGATAACCTTCCTTTAAGCATGCCTGCCTTCAAGACAGTGCATGATCTGCTCATCCTGAGATTCCATTGATTAACCAAATGGCCTTGACTTCGCTTGACCTCTTTGACCTGGTCAGTTGAGGTGAAGATATCATCAGCATAATGAATTCCAATTGCTAGAGTTGTAAATATGATAGAAATAAAACTATGAACTGGTCAGCTGAATAGTTCAGATTTTAATGATAATTTTATGATCTATAAAATAAAACATGAAAGAGACCCAGTTCAACCTGTGGTTTTTAATTGCTTATTTTTTTAATTCAACGATATGCCAATCGATCTGCATCAAACAGAAAGAAAGGGCAACTTGGGTTCACTAGGATCTTTTCTACCAACTGGCTCTTGACATGTAAAGGAGTCCTCAAAGGAATTTTAATCTACGACGAAATAACGAACAATATCTTATATTCAAGAAAACAGAAATGGTGGATCACTGATTTTCTTCTCAGAATAAGAGGAGCATTCCAAAAGAAAGGCACATAGATTGTCGCACCCATCGAGTCGGTATGCCTTGAAGTACGCCGAATCGAGCAACTTTCTGGGGCACTGAGCCACGGAGGGCATGTACCTACCTTCCTTACAGAAAGCAGTCGAAGTGCGTAACGAGTCTATTTAGGATCTAAACTAGGTAGGCTATTGAACCTGTCTGATAATCTATATATCAGGCATACCGTGAAAGTTAGGCTGGCGCTCTGCAACATATCAACGCAATTCACTATTCAATACCGAGACAGATTCAGCTTTACGCAAACTGCCGAGAGTTGCCGAATGGTTATCAGCAATGAAGTGACAAATACATCATAATTTACACCTAGTACAGATGGTGTTAACTAGATAAGCCCGTAGTCTGGACCGATATGCACATGTTGAATTCACATGCCTTTTAACCGATCTTAGATAAGCCTGGGCGTCCTCAGATAGAAACATGTATTTTCTATTTATAAAACCGAACAAGTCAATCAGCGTGTCAAAGGGCAATGGATGGCTCAGTAGATAACGATTGCCCGCCTCAAACGCTCAAGCTACAATTTGGTGTTCGAATTCCTAAATCATCAACTCAATCCAAATGTGCAGTTTTAGTACAAAAAGTTTAAAGTTTTCTTATCAATAATGCAGATTAATAGAAGAAAAACTACCCAGTCGATCAAGACCGCCTCTTACAGTTCCTCAATGAAGTTCTTGCTCCAGTCTGGACCTGTGCATTAGGGAGAATCATACCCTCTCTTCCCCGACATCAAAAAAAATAAGGCATGTAGATGGCCTAGTCTTGTGCGCTATATATACAGGTTTCGACAATTAAATGTAAATTAGTGAGACCAGGTCGACAGTCAGCTGTTATGAGTGTGAAAAGTCTATATTTGGGTTCAATAGGATACAGTTATTCCCTGGCATGTGTCACGTATACCAACCGATAAAACTGTACCGACAACAAACCGATAAAACATATCAATTTAATGATACTACTGACTTAGATAATGGGCATTAAAGATGGCTGTGAGCATAACTTAATAGCAGGAGATACGAGATAAGTCTTTCTCACAAAAATCCATGGTTTTTTGTTGATACGGTTGGTTAGTTGGTTAGTAGATGAAATGTCAACGTCCGCTTCCAGCTAACTGATATCACAGACTAGGTAGTTGTTGGTAAATG